CTGGGCATCGCCACACAATAAACCAAATTCTAATATGAAACATGAACGTTAGACGGATTTAACAAAGAAAAGAAATATATATGGAGAGGATTGAAGCTTGATTCAGTGCGAGCCAGCCAAGGCAAATACAATTCTGAGAGTTTCAAAGACAACTTCTTGTTTCCTTCTTCAACATTCCGGTTCTTTGGATTCTTCTGGGCCAGAAGCAGAGGGTGCAGGGAGAATCGGAGAGACAGAGAGCGAGATATATGGAGAGGCCGAGACCCAGCAGACGTAATTAATGATCCCGAAAACGTTGACGACGGCAGCAACAGCAGAATTAAACCCATGAAGGGGCAAACGCATGTTTTGGACCTTTTTTTCTGTTTGGCCGGTTGGCAGATGAAATACCAAAAGGTAAAAGGTCAGACGGTCGAATGGAGCCCGAGATTGAGTTTGTCAATTCGCATCAATAAGGCTCGGCAGTAAAATGTACACTTCCTTACAGATTAACTCTTTTATTTCGGGAAACAAAAAATATATATATATTTTTAGCTTAAAATGCAAATCCTAAATAGTTATCAAGCTTTAAAATCATCAAGCGAAAGCTTAAAATAAAAATGGGAGAGTAACCGAGATAAGTAAAAATATATAAATAGCTAACTTTTATCCGCTTTTGTGGTAAAGTAACTTATAAACTACATTACCGACTAAGTTTGAAATAAATTTGCGTTCCATTCAAGAGCGGCAGAAAAAATTACTAATTACTGTGACTTATTCTAAAGAATTTTTTAAGAATTAAGAAACAAACAAAAGCGAAGATAAGTGGTTCCTTACAGTTCATAATATTCATTGAATCATTTTTAATGCTAAACGAAAGTATTATATTAATCACTGTGGGGTTTTTTCCGGTGATATGTTTTTCTTTTTTATCATCAAAAGGAATACTATATATACTATTATGTGGAACTGAGTTCGGAATGAGAAAAAATAAAAAGCAAGCGAGAAATATCTTTGCAGACTCCACAACTGGATGCCATAAGAAGTTGTACTACAACTCGATGTTTATAGTATTTGTAGAATGCCGAGGGGCGAGTCTGCAAGACGTGCTACAAGATACATAACAACAACAGCAACAACAACGACAAAAGCTAACGCAACATGAAAACCGGTCTGGGGCAACAACAACAACAAGTTACACATCAGTGTGTGTTGCCCATACACACAGATACAATATACCACCTAAGCATGTGTTTGTGTCAAACAAGAAGACGAAGACGCTGCTGTGGATGGGAAGGGGGGTTTTCAGAAGGGGGTTTTGTAGAAAGAGACCCGAGAAGCAGACGCCAAACGAGACGACTCTACAAAGCTCCACACACAACACACTCTCACATCCACCAATCTACATCTACCTCCTTCTTTTGCTTTCCATATTCTTGAACTTCAAAAAGTACAACGATGAAAATCGAACAAAAACCCAGCATAAAACAAATAAAAGCGAAGAAACAAACAACACAACGACAAGCCGTCAGACAGCTACTGGTGTTAACCCGTAGTACATAGTAGTAAAAAGCAGCCAGCAGCAGCAGCAGCAGCACACAGATACACTTGATGCTATATGTATACCCACACCTATACAATATACGCGCGTACAACGCTGCGTATACGCCATGTCTGGCTGACAACGTCTTCGCCGCGCCGCCTTCTTTTTTCCTTCTTATCGTTCGCCTTTTGAGTTCTTTCTTCTCCATCCCATCTCTCCCCCTCCCTCTCTCCCACCCGACGACTCTTAAACGCTAATGCTCAGTGTATACTATATATGCATGTACTTTTTCGATTCGCGGACGATCGTCATCTGTGCAGCCTGCACACCGAGAGCCCCATAAAGAAGAAGAATAAGAAGCCCCCAAGTGCCAGTGATATGATATATTCCCCCTCCTCGTACAATCTCCACATTCGGAATTCAGTAGCTAGGGATTAAGTGTGCAAGACTGAAGGGAAAACCTCCAATACTCTGGCTGGGTGATAATATGCAACATTTATCCAAGATGTACACTCTATATGTTCACCACGTATTATCTAAATAGTCATCTTACTTAATAATGGTTTTTAATTATTATATTGTTATTTCGACTTTTAGTATTTTTAGATTTCTTTGTAATTCGGCTTGAGGTTTTGGAACGAATTATGACTTGGTTCACATTTTAAATGAATAAAAGATTTAGAATTATGATTTAAGATAATATTGGTAATAAACAAAAAGTTTTTTGAAAATATACAATTTTTTTTTTCCTTTTTTCAGATATTTTTATTGGATTATTTTCAGTCCAAGCATCAAGACTTTATATAAACTCCATCGTATAAATGATATAGCCATTTGCTACCCTACTACTACTCCCCATTCCCTCTTTTTTATTTTCTATCTACTCAACTCTACTTGGCACCGAACTTTGGCTGCGACCATATGCCGGGAATAAAGACTCCGATTCATTGTAGTCTCTACTACAGAACTTTAAGACCATCCATTACAAATGCTTTTCTTTTCATTTCGTGTTTATATTTCGATCTGGGCATGACTGCTGGGGATCTGCCTGGCTGCCTGCCTGCCCTTCTGTCTGGGTTTTTTTAATGCTCTACATGATCTGGTTTTGTGTTGGATTTGGGCAATTTCAACTTTTTGATGGATTGTTATTGAAGTTTTTGGCTGTTTGTTGTTTGCAGCTTTTGTGGCTTATTTCAACTTTTTAATGGTTCTCATCTCAGTTTTTGTTGGTCATGTAAACAAAAGATCTTGAGATACATATATCATGTAAATGTGTTTTATTTTTCCTAGTCAAAGCATAGGATGATTTCCTCAAGGTTCTTACAAGATTTTCGGGTATTATGCTTAGGGCTAGCAACTAATGACAATTAAATGAAGGCATGTGTTGAAAATAAATGATGCAACATGAGTTATGATTTAAACTTGAATTATCTCAGTAACTTCCTCACCAACTCTGCACATTTTAGTTTCCAATGATTGGCTTGGTATCAGAGTTTCTTTCAGTGCATTGGCCTAATTGAGAAACTAGCTTCAATACCAAAATTGGCTCATTGTCCTGGCCATAAAAGGCACACACTCACATTCACGAACCATCAACTCACAATGTAATAAAATACGAAACAAAAAATAACTAGGCAAGAAAAACGTGCTATGCCTCGAATAATGAAGTTAATAATAAAAATGAAAAAAGAAACATTTGCCGCTAACGATAAACCAAATTTGTACAAATAAAATAAATTAATAAACAATCGGCGTGCGCGTTTCTTTTGCAGTGTGTGTGCGTGTGAGTGAATTACTAAGTTTTTGCCACCAAAGTTGGATTTGCCATATATACTATATAGACTTTATATATATATGTACCAGCCAAAGTCGTAGACATAGCAACGGGTTTATTTCTGTATCGGTGTTTGGATTAATTCACAGAACGACTTGCCAATTAGCAACAAAAAAGTTCTTGCCGTTGATTAATTATTCAATAACCCCACCTACCCGTATAAGCGAATGACAATAAAATAATTATAGAAAATGTGTATTAGCAAGAAGGAAAAAAAACTTTGTTAAGGCCAGCAATAGAAGTGAAATCTGCATTATAAATGTCATTTATACACGCCCTACTGTCGTACTCATATACAATGAATTTTATACAGTGGTCACTCGGAATGCGAACTCTTTTTTTTCTAATTAAGGTTTTTAAAAATCACAAAATAACTTTATTTTAAGAACTTTTAATATTAAGAACTCTATTATATTATTAAGATCTTAAAAACCTCTGTATTTTACATATTTAAATTTTAAGAACATGAAGTACAAAGCAAGATTTTAAGATTTTTAATAACCACTCTAGATATGAACATATTTTTATTTTTAGAACTTTAAAATGGGAATTCCATTTTGGGGTTCAATTTTTTTTGTTGTTTTATGTTTCGCAGTAACCACTGTACAAGCTTATTGTGTGTATGCATTACTTTTCACATTGGCGTTGTTGCTGCTGCTAAGTGCGTCTAGTAATTTGCTGATAATTATCAACAAATGCGCGCTCACGCACATTCAAATGTAAATTAGACGGTAGAAAGGGTGGGAGAGAGCTGTGAGAGAAAGAAAGAGAGAGAGACCAGGACCAGCAACAATAACAAAAGCATCGAATCTCATGCGATGCAGTTGCCAGCGAGAGTTTTGTTGCTAATTACACACACACAACGATGGCCAGCCAGTCAGAGTGCAAGTGCGTCTGTGTGTGTGTGGACAGGAGGGGGTGGTGGGGGCGGTTAACTTCAGTTGGTAACAGTGGGACCATTGCACGGAGAAAAGGACCTTTAGCTTTTTCCAAAAATATTCACTGTTCTCGCAGTTTTAAAATATTATCATCATTTTTTTTCCCCTTTACACTGCCAACAAAATCCCATATACTAATCATGATTTCCCTAATGAAACCCACAGAAAACCAGTAACTTTTTATCTTTAGCTAATTTCAGTAGCCGATTCTCACTCCATTGTTTTTGTTTACAAAAACGCTGAGCTTAATTTGAATTTCAACATTTCACATTTAACATATCAATGATAAAGAATGCACACAAACACACGCCAACTGAATTCTATGAGCCATTGTTTTTTATGAACAATATGATGTGCAAATGGCTTACGTTTTTTTACTTTTTTAACAAAAGGCGAATAGAATTTCTCGAATACAAATTTTGTGGCCTGACCAACTACAACAAATACAGACGGTCACACTAAAACACACTCGCTCTCCCGAACAGAGAGAGAGCGGGGGTGTGCTGGTATGTGTGTTTATATGCTGTTTGTGGAAATGAATGAAGCGCTGCTTGCCAACAACGTAAAAGCAAGTGTAAGAGCGAGCCAGGAAGAGGGGGGAGCAGGAACAAGAGCAAGAACAAGAGAGAGCGGAAGCGGGAGGGGAAGTAAGAAATTTTCCAATTGGCGAGCACACACAACATGGGGAAAAAGAATTTGCACTTACCGTTTTTCACTTATTGACGTAGGCGTCCGTCTCTCTGTCTCTCTCTCTGTATTTTTAACCGAGTGTGTGTGTTTATGGCTCTTTTTCTTTTATTTGCTACGTTTGTTTTTGTTATGCAAAAGGCATAGAATTCTTTTTTTTTTTTTTGTTGGGTTGTACACGTTAAAAACACAAACACTTTAAAAATTATTTAACAGCTCGCTCTCCCGCGCTGCGTGCACTGCGAATAAATGTTGGCTATATTATGTACTTGCTGCCTGGCTGGCTGGGCCTTACAACTTTTCCACGAGCAAAAACAACGCACGACTGTGGAAAACGCGAACCGACGAACCGAAAACCGTGAAAAGTGTTCATTGAGGAAAATTGAAATGAGCGCCCCAGCATGTGACTCTCTCGCGCTTGCTCTCTCGCTCGCTCGCTCTCTTTTTGGGGGGCCAGGCCAGTGTTGCCAACTCAGCAGCAGCAGCGCAGAGCCCCAATGCCAATAAGCCGAATTGGGGAAATGAAGTATGCAAAATCGGCCTCAGATACTCCAATTCTGATTTGAACTTATTAATTATTTAATTGGGATTCTCGGGCAGCTGTTTGTGGGCTGGCAACACTGCTCCACTGAACAGACAGCGCGTCGACGTCAGCGTGTGTGTGTGTGTGTAGGCTGCTCTCCCTCTCTTTTCCTCACTCGCCCTCTCTTTGTCACACGCGCATTTTCGATTGATTGCTGTTGTTGTTATTATTTTGACTTTTATTCGAGCTTAATTTTTAATCCAATATTTTTAGCCAGTATCCCAGTTTGTTTTCCCAACTCTGTTTCACTTGTTTTCACACCTACGCACTCGCCTGGTGCGTGTGTGTGGGTGTGCGTGCGTGCGTTGTATTTGCAAACGAATGGAAATTGTGTTTCCTTAAAGTGGAAAAAAATATGGACTGGCCACGAACCGTTTAATGCACGAAAAGCAGCAGGCGCAGCCCGTGTTTATTTTCTCTCGGCTCTTATTGGCTTTGAGTGCGCGGGGCACGGCACAAGAACAATTCACAAGCTCCACCTTCCGACATCCGCGACACGTCCGCCTGCGTTCGAAGTTTTTTTATACGTAAGTTTTAACGTAAGTTTTTGTACGTAACCCGGCTCTCCGTCATTGTTGTTACGAAGTTTTTATACGTAACTAGGGATGTCAAAAATATATCAAAATATCAATATATCGATATTTTTGCAAAACAAAATATTTATATCGTGATATATTGATAGTTTATTTTTCGATATTATTTGATATTTGCATATCTTTCTCTCATCTGTGCACAAAAAAAGGAAGTGTGTTAAAATTTATTTCGGTGAAATTAATAAAAACAAACTAAGTGCAAACTTTGTTTTAAAACTATTAAAACAAGTGGGAATACATAAAATATGTTATCCCACTTGAAAATCAAACACTTTTATGTGTGGAACTAATAAAATAAGAAATTTAATAAAACTTATTATATTGTTTATACTTTTCTAGTGCTTTTACATTAATTTTAGGGCAAAAGTCTTGTTTCCTTGTTGTTAGCTTATATACGCGGCTAAAATTTTGAAATTCAAATAAAAAAAATTTCAAAAATATCTGATATATCTGATATATCAATGTTTTTTTGGCGATATATTAAATATCATATTGATATTTTTCTTAAGCCTAGTACTCAGTTGGGCTAAGAGTTTTACTAGTCGAAAAATATTAATCTTTTAGTGTGGCCGAAGTTTTCGGACTTCATCCGCAATGCATGTAGCATGGTCTTACTCTCAGCAAACAAATCAACTGGCGCCAATTTTGAAATGTTACAAAATGTTGAGCCGACCTGGGTCGCAAGCTTTAAATTTGCTGTTGGCATGGAGATATGTATTGCCGCAACTCCTACAGGCAGTTTTTAGGGTTTTCCTTCCATTTATAATTTGTTATTGGCACACCGCGTCTGCACATACACAGGCAAAGATCAAATTTTTTATTCTTTGGTCGGCGGCTAAAGGCGTTCATCGGAGTTCATCCGCTAAATCTAGTATTTTTGTGGTATTTTCTCACTATTTCCTTAGCTCAACTGAGTACCGCGGTGGAAAAAAGTCCCAGCTAAAGGCTTTAGCTACCTATTTGCCTCTCGCTTACTCCTATGCTTAGCTAGCAGTTTTCGTCGTACTGAGTACTAGGCTTTAAGGAAAATATATCAGCGATACGATATTTTAAAAATATTTCACATCCCTATACGTAACCCGGCTCTAACGTTGAAATTGATCAGTGTTGCCAGATGAAAATGTTGCTTTCCCCCTAAAATTGTCAGCTCACAAATGTTTCCATAGAGGGCGCCCGTTTCCTTAAACCAGTCTCCCCCTTCCGCCAATTTGGCGCTCCTAAATGTTAGATTTCATGGTTTTTCTAACAGCAATGTTAAGATACAACGTTTTCTTACATTGGCAGAGCAGCGGCAGAGGCGCAACAGTTCTGCCAATGTAAGAAAACGTTGTATCTTAACCAGGGCTGTGAACCACTCCGAACCGGATTGGTTTTTTTTAGAGTTGGGAAACCAACGATGTTTCAAAAACCCGGTATGACACTGTCCTTTAAAATCATAATGTTAAACCAGTGTCCTCGCTAATCTTAGCCGCGTCACCCTCCTTCTTAACATTTCTGTTGAGATACCACCGGAAAATTGGTCTGGCAACTCCGCGAAACTGTTTACAAAGTTGAATAAAGCGCCATTCCGGGTATAAAAGGAACTTCATATGTAGATCCAATGTAAAAGTAAGACGGTCGCCCTCGTAGTGACGAATGGTACCTAAAATCTGCTTTGGAGTCCAATAGAAATGGGCAAAGTATAAATATAAATAAAATTCTGAATTTAATATTTTCAAAGAATAATTTTTAACACAGCTTCTACAGTTTGACCCTGTTTAGTTTTTTTTTTTGGACTGACATATTTAAAATAAGTTATTGCAAGAAAATTGCAGGAGACCACTTAAAATACCGTAATTCAATTATAATATCTCTTCAGAGTAAAAAAGCTAGGTAATCCTAAACTTCAGTGTGGCTTTAGCCGTTCAGAATACCACCTTCAAATGCAGCGCGCCAAGTTTAAATCCATTTCCGCTTAATGATTTCTCATAAAATTGCACCTTCTTGAGTGGGTAATTTATGAATGCACTATCTTCAAATGGGAGTCACTCCTATGGATTCGTCGTTAAAAAGTGCAAACATTCATCAAATTCGCGCCGGAACTTTGGAAATATAAAAACCGCGCTATGTGACCCGTACACCTGCTGCTGCTGCCGGCGAGCGACATAAATTACGCATACGTCGTGTTAACCGTGGGAAAACATATAAATGTGCTTGCCTCCCACACGACAGCGGCAAAAACAAATTGTTGTACCTTCTGCTGCTGCTGCTATTATTGCCATAACTTTAGACTTTTATGAGCAGTCAAGTCTGAATTAGGGAATTAGGCTCGGCTTCTTCATCGAGTTTAGCCTACGAAAATGTAACACTCGAAGTTTAATGAGCCGAAAACTGCAAGTTGAGAGAGACGAAGGCCCAAATATATTGGGTTCAATTAATTAATAGATGCTGCGGCTGAGAAGGCAAATTCCAGGGCAAACTGGGATTTGGGAATAAATAATTACAAGATGCATTTAACAAGACAGTGTTTAAAAGTACATAAAATAGGATTATCGTTAAAAAAGAAATAAATTATAGAAACAACCAACATAAAACTGCAGTAATTTTTATATATTTTAATCAGTAGATTTTCATGACACTCGCATGCTAGAACTTCAATAAAAACCATGCTACAATTCATCATCAAATTTTTGCAGTTTGCTCAACGCATTAATTAGCATTTGGGATGCAGGGGGTTTCGTCGTTGGCTTTTTCGGTATTTAAAATAATAATCCTAATTTGCTACACCTGTCATCAAGTTTTTATGTCCGCATGTGTGCGACCGAGAAGCTTCACAAAAAGTAATTTGTAAAATTCCCCGCTATAAAACATTTATAATAAAAAGGTAGCAAGTGTCAAGCGAAGACACCCCGAACCTCTAAATCCTCCGCTCTTCTCACATACATAAATCTCTTGGCCAACACATTTTTCGCATTTAGTTTGTAATAAAAAGCAAACATTAAAAGCGAATATTCACTTCAAAACCGACATTACGGCAAGTTGTGGTTAGTGGGGAGAATTCCAGGGGCGTTCAGTTGGTTTTTCTGGGGTGCTGATGGAGTTTTTCTGCAGAGCGGAAAATAGCTAATGATTTGGGGGGTTTTAGTTTTAAAATATATTATATATATATTTTTTTTTTTCTATAGATACCTAAGGATTTTTAAATATTTCTTAGTAATATATTATCATGTTAGGGGATTTTAAAAATAATTGGACCCCACTTAATGTTTTTAATTCTATATTCAAAACTTTTTTTATGTTAGGTAATCTTAAATTAATCGTAGATATATTCATTAATTTTCCAAGAACTGTAAAAGCGTTACTAAACTGATAAAAATTTAAAATTTAATTGTATTCGCAATAAAACTCTTTTTTTTTAAACCGCAATTTCTATAGCCATTAAATTTAACACTTTTGACAAGTAATTAAAATACATAATTACTATCTAAACAACTGCGCACAGAATGTCACTTCAAAAAGAGCACGAAAAAGCAGTTCTAAATTTGGTGCTCATCAAAGAGGTTTAACGAATGTGAAGTGTGTTTAATTTTAAATTAATTATGCCCGCGAGCTCTCCTTTTTTATATGTATGCTGCACACTCTTCAGCCATTTTGCCGCGATACACATCACCATACTCATTTACCAACACATTTTAAATAATGAAATTTGCGCATAAAACTTTGGCATTTTGCAAACGAGTAAAAGAGAAGGCAACTGAAAAAAAAAAACAAAGTTGCATGCAACACACATCAAACAAAACAAACAAACTGGGCGGGAAATGGGCGGAAAAGTCAGTCCACAAAAGAGTTACAAAATGACCAGCGGGCATTTTGTTTTTTTTTGTTCAGCTTTCATTTTCTATTTTTCCGCCATTCTTGTTTTCTTTTTTGGCCAAGTTAATTGGAATAGTTTTCGCCAAACATAAACAAGCTTCAAGAGCAGATAGTGCGGCGGTTTTCCGGGGGCTGGAGGGGCGTGGCTTGGCTACATACATATTTGATGTGTTCGCTGCCAGCAAGTGAGCTTCATGATATAAATTAATTCGCCAAGAACCTTGAATTTTCCGCCTGAACTTAGCAAACTTTTGCCCCCTCCCTCGGAGATCCTTTTCCGCCATATTGCTGGCCAGACATAAAATTTGATTTAATAACCGCTGTTGGCTGCCATAAAAATTTGAGCCATTAAAATGGCCCGAACGAAAATTCTGCTCATAAACGAAGAGCATTTAAAACGAAATGAATCCCGCAATCCTCCGGGTTAGATCGGGTTCACCGGGGTCTTAAGGTCTTTATTAGCTGTTAGCAGGCATTCCCAAGGTTCATAAATTGCGAAACGAAAAACAGTGGTCCAGTTTTGGTTATGGGATGTGAAAACGATACACCTATGGTGCTGTTTACGAGCATGCATGTTTTATTTTAATCACGAAAAAAGATCAGAATTAAATTTACAGAAAATTTAAATTAATTATTATTTTGCTACCACAAAATAAAACTCTTGTTTTAGTATTTATTTAATTTAGTTTTTATTGTTTTTAGTTTAATGGTTTGTTTATATCTCATTTAGTTTAACTTTATTTCATATTAATCACTTAATTAAGTTCTTTGCATGTCTGCAATCATTTTTTTTTCATATTTTAAACTAGACGATTATAAATGTAGTCTTAAAAATACAAATATCATATTTTGTTTTTTTTTTGGCGACGCTTTTTATGGGTTTTTGTCAGAATGTTTTACAAATTAACTGGAAGAGTACTTAGACTTAAGACAGACTTATTAGAATAATCCAAAGTAAAAACAAAATGAAACAGTTGATTGATTGGCAGTTTTTGTTAGGTTGAGGTAACTATTACGTTGGTAGGATTTTATAAAAGAAAATGTGCTTTTGTTCTTGATCAATTCATAAGGAAAAGAATTACAAACGTATATTTTAAAAGCCTTGCAACAATTTTCGGTGTGTTTTACAATTAATTCGATTTCCTTTAAATTAAACATTTTGTTTTTTTTATTTTTCAGTGTGTTGGCTGGCTTTGTACACAGTAAAAAAAAGCGTCACTTGTTTACTTTCCATCCTCGGAGTATTAATTTAAATAATTAACTAGTTATTTGTTTTCAATTATGCCTCTCATTACTTTCATTGTTAATCTAATCTATTTTGAGCCATGTTTGTGTTTCTTTTTTTCATTTTAAGTGTACTTTTTTAATTTTATTTTCATCGTTTTACTTTCAGTAAATAATACCACATTTTATGTTTATTTTGACTAGAATATTTACAATGCCGTCAACAGAATTCCGTTATCAACAATCTCCATCAATATTTGCTTTCAATTAGCTGATGAGTGGAAAAAATGCATTTGTGCTACGCTTACGTGATTACTTGATTATACTCATACATATATATTTTATTTATATATACGCATATATATGTATGTTTCACAACAGATCTATCGAGCAACTAAACACAGATATTTTAACTAACACTTTCGAACTATATTTACAGGATCCTTAGTTGATTACGTTTATCTACCGATTTGTAATATAATTTCTTAGGGTTTTCTGATGATTTGTTTTTGACTTTTTTTTCGCCTATGACTAAACAGAGATTAGGTGCAGTCTAGTAGTTGGTTTTTCCCCCTCAATCCGAGAAGTTTTTCTCGTCGGAAAAGCGCACATGATGCTGCTGCTTGAGCCGCCCGCTACGCTTTCCCGCCGTCGCCGCCATTGGCGTGGCAGCCGCCATTTTGACAATACCGCTGCTGCCGCTGGAGTTTCCAGGCCCGTTTCCGGTTGCAAGGCGTCCTCCCCCTCCGCCGCCTACGCCTCTGGCATTTCCGGCAGTTGGCATCGTTGGCGAAATGGTGGACGTCGGCGAGGAGGAGTTGGTCCACTGCTCGTCGCAGGAGCAGTAGCCCCTGGCCACATCGCCACCCTCGAGCGCCAAGGCGTGCATTTCCCGCTTGAAACGCAACTTCTTCAGCTGCTGTCGCTGCCTGTGGTCACTGATGGGCGGTGGTCCTACTCCTCCTCCTCCTCCTCCGGGTTTTCCCGCTCCATCGCCCTCCGCAGCTGCTGCATCTGCTGGTGTCCCATTGAGTTGGCCGTCATCATCCGCCTGCTTCGGTGCATAGAACTCCTCGGGCGTTTCCGCTCGCAGGGTTTCTATGGAGCTGCAACAACACAAATGTTGGGGTTTAAATTTTAAAATTTTAAATAAAATAGGCGAATTATTCATGACAAAATACGGTTCATAAATATTCATGATTTTTGTAAATTAAATAAAGAGTTCCTTAATAAAAAAGCATAGATGTTTAAATAAAGTAGATTTAAGACCTATGATTTTTATCGTTTTCATGTTCAAATTAATGAGGCTATGCTTTAAAACCTTAAAATAAATCTAGTGAATATTCAAATTGAATTTAGAGGGTTCGGCAATAATAAACCAATTTTAAATAGTTTATTTGATATTCATTGAGCGCGTTAAAATGTAATTTAAGGCTAGACAAAAGGAATTTTGTTTACTATATTTTTTTATAACCTTATTAAGATGCAATTCCTTCCAAGTATTTTGTGTTTATTGAGTGTGAAATAATCGATAGAACTGAGTTGTCTTATTGTTTAGTAGTTTGGAAAAATCTTCGTAACGCGGTTGGATGTAATATGACTTTATGAGTGACTTTGTATCTATCACTTTCTTCAAAAGGACTCAGTACACTTCTAGTTCGACCGACTGACTGACTGACAGTTGCAACCATTACTTTTCCCCCATTTTCACACCCCCCGTTGCGACTTGAACCTTAACGACACAGTGCCTGCCAGAAGTGCATGCCCATCAGTGCCACTCAGTTGGCCGCGCTATATCTATATAGCCAGCCCTTTTGCGTATCTGTCCTATCGTGGAACTCGGCTCCATTTGGTCGCGGATTCACGAATTCGCTGATGTTACGCCGTTCTCATGGCCGTACACTTCATTGCGCTCTGTTGGCGCTTTCCATTTTCCATTATGCTTTTGTGTTTAGTTTAAAATTCAGCGGGAAATCTTCTGCAGCAGCTGCATGCCATATTTATTCAGCTTCCTCTTCGTTTTTTCCCTTTCTTTCCTAGGTTCTCTTCCTCAACTTTTTCTTCAAACTACCGCTGTTTGTGTTTTTGCACCGGGTACTCCAGAAATTCAAAAGGGGTGATTCGAATTAGTGCTTGTTTTTTTTTGTTTATTTTACGATTGAAAATAAGTTAGATATATATTTTTTCTATATTCATCTTGTGGCATGTTATCCCTTTTTCCCACTTCTATTATTATTTTGGGAAATTTTATTTTATAATTTTCTTGAATACTAGAGGTAAATTTAAAGAAAATTTCCCAGAAAACTGGTTCAAAATTTAAGAAATATTTCAAAGAGTAGGTAATCTTTTTCCCAAAATTAAAGGGTATCTCTTAGTCTTCCCCGCGACACTTTTCTGCCAATTTGTTTTCTTTCTTTTTCGCTATGCGTGCCCATTTTTGCAGTACAGTAAACTCGGGTGGGCGAGAATTTATGCAAAGAAAGCGAAAAGTGCAAAGTAAAGTGCAGTTGCGAAAAATGCGCGGCTGCCTTTTGTTTTGCCAGCTCTTTGGCCATCAGAGTTGGGATGGCTTGGTATGGGGGTTCCTGGTGTAAGGTGGGTTCTTAGATTGGGCGGCTTGGAGGCAAGGGTTAAGTTAAAAGGGGGTGGGAGCGCAGGAGGAGGCATAGCTGCTGCACAGTTGAGCGCACAATTTGGCGCAGATTGTTGACTGGGCTTCATGGGCGGAGGCGGAAAGGGGGCATGAGTGGTTTTGACGGGGGGTTTGGGATTGCAGCTATGCAGCTTAGACTTTCTCCTTGCAAGATACCAAAACTAAAAGAAAAAGAAGCACCGGCAAAATGAGTGAACTGAGTAATGCGCGTAATGCAAATCGTTGCTACAATGTGTGCAAGTTACGGGTGGAAAAAAGGGGTTGAGGGGGTGTTATGGTTAGATGGGGGTATGGAAGGGCAGAGACCATCATTAACGTATTACGCGCATGTTTGTGCAGCCACTTTGCATATCTTGTGCCCCTAAAGAGGGGTGAAAACTCCGGCTCAGAAGGAGAAAACCAGGGAGACCGAGTGGTCTATCGAGGCAACTGACGGGCTTTAAATTTCCCATGAAATAATAAACATCAGTCAAGTGTCGTAAATTCGCTCAGGTTCATAGAATTCATTATCATGAATAAAAAGAAAAGAATTAGTAGGGAATATAAATTAATTATTCATAAACACGATAATAACTTTCAAGATAGGAAATATTTTAAAATATTAACCAAAGTAAATAAATATGCTTTCTCTAGCTGCGTTATGGGAAAAAATAGAATGAACTTAATTAATTCATAATTTTTTTAATTTAGTTTTAGATTTTATAAAATAATGTTCGTAACCCGAAACCTAAACCATATCCACCTAATCTTTACCTCCTGGGTGCTTGATGCAACTTGCGCTAATTACACAACACATTTAGCATACAAGCCTTTGGGAGAAAATTTGTGTGCGAACAGATTCCCTTTTAAGCCAATAATTACACAAAAATCGCAAAACGATGGCAACCAAGGTAACCACAAACGATAAGTTTAAGGACTAACCGAAATTAATGAGAAATTCGAGCTGTATTTTCGTCAATTTGTTTACTTAATTGGTTACTTATGCGTAAGATGGTGACATCAATTGTGCAGAAATGCAAACAAGTAAATTGAAATTATTTATGTTTGCTGGCCAAATTAAATGAAAGCACAGGCTTAAGAAATTGTCAAATTTGCCTAGTGATTAAATTTTAGCCATTTGCATATTCGGAAATCTTACTATTAATTTGTTGAATGCTCAAAGGAATTTTCCTAAGCAGCGGCCTCTGATTGTTTGTTTTCCTTTCACGCAATGCAATCAAAGAAATTGTCCGAGTCTGGCCATCATAGCTTTTGTTGGTTTTCCCAAAACCATTTTCCCCAACCTTTTGATCATAATTTAAACAAGTGCCAAAAATATTCAACTGCAGGAGGAACTTAAGCAGAGTGTAAGGAGCTCAAAGCCAGTGGAGTGGCTTAAGGAAAAAGAATGTGAAATTAATGTTTATTGCGCTTTTAACACATACACACTTCGACACAGCAACCTGTGTGCGTGTTTGTGGGTGTAAATTTACATAAAAGTTGCCATTTGGCCCTGTGAACCTCTCTTCACCTCCCCCTCCCCCGTTTTCACTTTAGTCGGGAGGGAAAATTGCATTTTCCACCGCGCCAAGAGAACAGCGCAGAAATGTTAATCAGCTAAAAGTTAAGGAAACCAAGGCGGAGGCTGTGCAGGCGGCAGCGTGGGTTAAACAAAAAGCAAAAAGAGGGAAAGAAATGCAAATTTAATTGTACGCCAGGTGAAATAGTGTCCTGACCCACCCACACAGACACCCACTTACACCTTACACCCTTGCACACACACACATACTCATGTCCAAGTGGCTGAAAGCGGACAGCCAAGTAGATGATAAAATGTTCTGTGAGTGGCTTGATCTTTTCGGCCAGCTTTTTGGAGGTGCGGAAGAGAGCTTCCTTCGATGCGGATTTAATAAATAAATTGTATTGCTTTGGTCTTTTTTCTTACATCAAATACTTAAAGGAAAATTGCCTAGTAATCAATATTTTTAAATAATACTTTTTAAAAATTGTTGATGATTTTTTAACTACATGAAAAATCTATTAAGTCAAAAAAATATCTAAGCTAAAAGTCTGTTGAATAAACAAATAAATTCCTGTTAGGCTATACAATATTCTCAGTAAATCCCAGTTGAGTGTGGTTTTTATGGAGAACCAATTTTACTTTCAACCCAAAGGTTTGCTGCCAAAATAATTCCACAGTTTCTCCATTTCCTTTCGAGTTGACAGCATTGCAATTGGGGCTCAGTTCCAGTTACACAGCTTGGGGTTCCAGTTAATGCAATTTTTAAGTTTTTTCCTGGCCACACTGCAGTTTTAATTTGGTTTAGCTCGAATTTCCAGAGTCCGACATTGGGGCTCATAAATTAGTTGGGTGCTCCGGTTGCAAGTTGCATGCCGCAAATTGCCTTGCACCTTGCCACTTGTTATGGCTGGGTCTGGTGGTTCCATTTTTAATTTCGTTTATAATTTCACTCTCCTCGGCTCTGCTGGCATTATTACCCACGTATATATTTAATTTGTAGTTACTTGTTTTTCACGTTGAGTTCTGCGAAAAAAAACTCCCCATTAAAGCTCCCACATTTTTGGGGGAATTTTCGGGCGACCAGCCCACTCTCTCTGGCATTTTTCCATGCCAGTGACTGCGACATTTGAGTCCACCTTGAACCATGAACTCCGTGCTTTCCATGCATATTTATGTTTTATTTGTCCTCTTTTTTTATCAAATAAAGAGCCAGCATTTTTTGCTGCCGCATGTTTGACATGCCGTTTGTTATTTTTGATCAGAGCCTGTGTGCGCAGATATTTTATTTTTTACCTTTTCTCGATGTCCCGTCACGACCTTTGCTTTTTTCGGCTCTCTCTAAAGGGTTCAAAATGTTTGTCATTCTTTATTTGCCAGGGGAACTACATTTTAAGGAAATTTCTCACAGAATCGACTTTAAATTTTTCCCATTTTTCTGTTATTTTCCTGTCAATATCTTTGTTGTCTCTTTAGAAAGTAAACAAAAAAAGAAGGAAAATGGAGAGACTCACTATATCGCACTATCTCACACTCGCCTTGAAGAAACTTGACCCACCAACCGATTGGGAGGACATCCTGGAGTTCGTCCTTACCACCTTGAACGCCACGTGGCGTCCCAAATATTACACCAAAGAATTGAAGAAGGCCCTCAAAGTTGGACTACGCTTTGGCATAATACGCGAAATGAATAATAAATACTATCTGTATGAATATGCGAAAATAAATTCGTTTGGAGAAATTACATACGAGTTCACCGACAATCCCCTGAGTTCTCATCCCCTCATAAAGAAAGAAGATGAGGATGATGAGGAGGTAGAGGAAGAGGAGGATGATGACGAAGAGGAATGCTCGGAACAGAATGATATAATGTTCAAATTGGAGGAAGATTCAACAGAAACACTAGTGAAAAAATCGCCTGATAACGAAGTGTTGAATTCATATGTCTAATAAAGATAAAATATTGAATTTTTCTATTTTCATTATCATCCTACCGTTAAGACTACCATTTTGTTTGCCTAATAAGTACTTAATAATCTAAAAAAGATTTTTTTTCTACAAATATTTATAAAGTTCACAATTCTTAAAAAATAAAAAATCCTTTTTAAACCCCCGCCATAAAATTATTAATTTCAGCGATCGTTTAATAAAGGAATTAAATAAGATTAAAAAAGTATCTATGATTATTTTATGCCAAAAGAATAATATATAACAAAATCCAAGGTGAAAAAGGAACTTATATTTATAATAAAGGCTTCATCACTTACCCCGTTGATGACTATAAGTCCAACTCAAAGACCGATACCTATCAGACGCGCATCTCGTCCATCGCCGCCTGCGGCACTTGCTGTTGTTGCTGCTGTTGCGGATGCTGCTGCGGGTGCTGTTGCTGCTGCTGCGGATGCTGATGCTGCTGCTGACCGCCCACAGGTGAGGCGGAGGTCAGGACGAGGCCGTCGCCGTGCGAGTGGACCAGGTGGGCGGCATGCGAGTGCGAGTGGGTGTGGTGACCCTTCGAGGAGCTGGGGGCGCTGCTCACCCCGCTGCTGCTGCTGCCGCCGGATGGCGTTTGGTCCAGCAGCATGTTTCCACCACCACCGCCCCCGCCCATGGCCACGCCCATGGCGGAGTTATTGCTGCTGCTGTTCGTTGTCGTCGAGGAGGCGGTGCGGAGCGGTGGGCGTGGTCCGCGTATGTGATGCGACTGAATGCCAGTGAGGACAGCTCCATTTGCCTGATGTTTGCCCGACTGTTGCTGTTGATATTGCTGCAGCTCGGCTGCACAGAGAGAAAAAATGCAAAGAAAATCAGTATTAAATTATATTATACATTTTAAAATACAAAAATGCTTCAGTCAAGTGGATCATATTTTCTAATCTGCCATAAATTTCACTTCTTAAAGCATTTATTTAAAATTAATTTTTTTTCTTTGAAATATCTGAATTAAAGATCTTTACTTCTTTTCATAAACAGTGTTTGTAAAAATTTAGAAAAATTTCTTAATTTCAATTTGGACTTATCTATCTTATTTAACTAAAACTCTTGGAAAATAATATTTTCTGTTATTTGGTATTTTAGATCTATTATAATAAATTTTATACTGGAGTCCATGTCGTTTGACAAATCCATAATATTTCCCAGTGCTAGGGGGAATTTAGGGTATGGAACGTAAGCTACTTATGAACGTTATGCATATGTTGGCATATTATCAGGCAAATGTTTATTGACGAGCAGCAGCAGCGGCAGCAACAAAAAGTCAATTTGTAAACAACAATGTCAACCATTAAACACACATTCCCATATCATCGACATCGACATCCTCATTCTCATCGTCATCGTCATCAGTTGGTTGGTTGCACTTTTTGTTCCATTGAATTGGCAATGTACTACCCCCAGCTGCTCCTCCTTTGGCTCCTCCTCCTCCTGCCTTTCAGCTTTCGATGTCGTTCAACTTGTCGCCCCGATTGCCTTCCAAATGCAAAAGCGCAAAATGTGCACAGCTATTGACGCGTCTAATATTTTGATGCCCCCAAACGCCCCTTTTCTGCTCCGGAGCGTGTGTGTTTGTGTGTGTCTGGGCCAGAACTAATTTGTTTGCCCGGGCTCTATAGACACAATGCAGTTTTATTGGTGAGTCGGCACTAAAAGAGCAGACTGCTCCGAATGGAGTGTCGTGTCGTGTAATAAAAACTGAAGTTGGTAACGGGCAAGTGCTAAATGTCATGAAGATGAAGCGAAAAGGACCATAAGTTCTTGGTAGCATAAGGTATTTATAAGGTGGATTTATCAAGAAAGAGTTTAATAGCTTTTAGATATCAATATTGATCAAGAATTGATTGAAACCTTGCCTTTTTAAATTACTTCATTATTATTTTTATTTATTTCATAAGTTCCTAACTTTAGTCTCAATTTTATTAATTTAATTTAATTTCTTTATAAATAGAAAAATTGTTTTTAAGGTATAATTATTTAATCTATATTGTCAAATAATTCTTTGAAATTATTGTTGTTCCCTTAAAACCAAAATACAGTTATATTTTCTGACTGATTTTTCTGTTCCTAAAATCTACAAATTCCCTAAGAGTTTATAAAACCTTTTTGTACTGCTTAGGCTATCAGAGAATTATGTACCGTGCGCCAACGAATTTCCCAAATCCATAACTTCCACCATTTTCGTCTCTAGAGCTGAGGAGCTGTTCCTTGTTTTGCTTAAGCTCCCCCAGCTTAATGAACATTTTTAATCAAGCCTGGCTGCAGCTTTTCTGAGCCCCTTCCTAGAGGCGGAAATCTTTAAAAAACTCAAAGAAATTTTCATTAGTCATTCAAGATGTCCCTGGGCAACCTTTAATCCCGGGCCAAAAACCCGCTTTCACTAATTAGAGGTTTAATTCAACAAAGTACTCGATGGCCGAGCGAACTAGCAGAGAGTTGTGCCCTTTTGGTTTTTATGTTTATGGCCAGGACTTTCTGGGGATTTGATGGGCAGCTCCGCTTTTTGGGGGCCAGTTCAAGTGGCCAAATGGACTGGACCTAAGAGAGCATTCAGACTCAAATGTACCGGATTATGGTTGCCTTTGGCTCTGGCTTTTGGCTAGTTTGCAGTAGGCCAAAGCAGAGATTTGCCACAAAGCTCTAGCAGGGAGCGGAGATCAAAGGCGAAAGAAGCCCTCAACTGAGGCATAATTTAACCTTTTATTTTCTTTTTTTTTTTTGGCTAACAAATAATACACACTCACACACATGAGCGCGAATGGGACCTGTGGCATAAAGGACCGCAAAGCTGAAGTGCTCCATGCAATTTCCCCAAGGAGTGCGGCCATCATTTATGAATATGAAATTAACAACGGTGCGTATGCGTAATTTGTAATGAAAGCCAGGCCGAAAAACCAAAGACCAAAGACCCAACCTGACCGAAACCACCACTTTCACCATCACCCACACCACCAACCGAGTGCCTGGCCACGGGGTATGCAATAAATTTTCAATTTCCATAGCTGGACTTTTTGCTTGGGCAACCCAGGCAACCCGCAGCGAAGCAAATCTAATTTATATGCACATCACTTATACGCACTGTTGCAATTACAATGCCAAATGCTGCAACAAATGCGTATAATGCGGGCCAGAAAATATTACCCCAAAAATATCGGACTATCCATGTATATATATATATGGCCTCCAAATAATGCAGTCCAAAGTGCTTGGCCAAAATTGCGCGCTCAACGGATGTTGATTAGTATGAAATGACAAGACCGGAAATGCCGCGCATAACTCAAAAAAGGCAAAAATAAAACAGAACTGCCGGCCGCACGGAGCTCACTTAACCGCACCGACATGAAGAGCCACTGGCCAGTGGTGGGTTAAGGGTGGCGGCAGTGAGGGGTTAAGGGGTCAAAAGTGGGGGGCGTGAGTGCAACCACTCGGCCATGTGGATATTGTGGGTTTTGTTCGCCCAACTAAGTGGACACACAAGTGCAGCCAATTGTGCCGGTTGTTTGTGTGTGTGGAGGGTTGTGGGGTGAAGGATGCACTATGGGCTGGTAAGGGGTTAAGGGGTGAAAAGGGCCTGCCCCTCACGCTTGTCGCATTAATGAAGCATGCTCCACTCTCTGACTCACTCACGGCAATTTATTGCTGATTTTCAGCTGTTTCCCCTCGACGGTTGACATTTGGTGGACTTATTAAAAACAAAAAAAAATCATATAGCATACTTAGCAGGGCATGCGACAGGAAATTGGCGGAAAGGGATCGGAATCTACGGGGATTTATGGCCAAGAGATGGAGAAGCCACCGCGCCCAGCCAGCTGCACATAATGACGGCAATCACATCAACTTTTGATGGCTGCTACGTGATTATGAGGGGGTTATATGGCCGGCAAGGGGTGATTTTCCATTTTAAAGGGAGCATCCAGAGGGTATAACTATCTTTATTTATTGTTTAAGTTTAAGAACAGCTTCTCTGTGATTTGTTTTCCAATTTATTGACCACAAGTCTCAATAACTCTCCAAGCCCATAATCAATTGTACATTACGAAATTTCTCTGGAATATTTTAAGTTTGAGAGAACATTTCTCGGCAATTAATAGATTTCCCATGGAATTCTCAACCGCCCAACTTAATTGTGTCGAATCGAATCGAAAGCGAGAACCCTGGAAAGCCTGACTAATGATTCGAAGAAGCAACCCCTTGAAACCGAAATGGTTTTCAAATTAGCAAACGCTTAGGCAAACTGCCAAAAGCCAAGCACAACATTTAAATGCGATTGCAATGGGATAGGGCAGAGGGGGTGCGGGGGCAACAACAAATGAGCTTTGTGTCAAAGTCCAGATTAGCATACAATTTAGAGCATTTCAATCAAACATAAATCACAACGAGCCACTCGAACTGGACCTGCAGACCAGCAGACCTGCAGACCTCGGCCATTTCCCATTTCCCTTTGCCGTTTTCCCTCAAAAGGTACAAAATTGTGCGTAGTAAATCAATGGGGGACAGAGATGGATAGAAAGGCAAACGCAGACGGAGACAGGTAGATAAAAACCCAAAGGAGCAACAGTATAAAAAATCTATTTTTCAAAATGCAATCCGAGGAAATCTGAAACCGGATATCGAGGGGGTGGGTGGGAACGGAAATTTATGTGCTTCTATTTAGCATTGAGTTAGAAGTTGCGAGGAAGCGGAATTGAGCGCACGAACGAGCAAAAATTAAGTATACGCCGCCGTGCACTCAAGCAGCTCATGCGTGTGTTTTTGTATTTGTATCTGTGAGCAACGTCCCTGTGTGTGTGTGTGTGTGTGTGTCTGGGTGAGCAGCACAATTAAATTGGATTTATGGCGCGCATGATTGCAAAATGAAGTTAATGCGCATACAAATACAATCGAGCTGAAAGAAAAATGATTCTCGAACTTCTCCTTTCCCGAACGCCAAGCGGAAATCGTACCTTGTTTGTCATGTCATCAATAATCGAAGAGCAGAGGAGCTGGAGGAGTCGGGCGCAAGTAAATTGAATGAGCATATTAAAAAAGGGAAAGTATTGCAAGGAAGTGCCAAGGAAATGAAACTCAGCAACTGAGGAACAGGAACGCTCATGTAAACTCGAGTGGGAAATCGCCGAGAAGCGCGTCCCAATGAAATATGTACGACTCGCTGGCCAATGGCCATGTAGATTTATGTTTGCCCAGCGTTTGGCGAGTCTGAAAAATTTATTAGCCCATCCAGACGGTCATAGTTGGCCCGGGGTTAATGTTAGTTTATGCAATAGTTTGACACATTTGACAGGGGAAATGCTTCTAATTGATTGATGACAAATGGCCGCGCGGAAAAAGTTCTTCAACTTCCGGTGGATATGAAATCATTTATCATTGCTTTGAAAGCTGCTCGAAATGGGGTTGTTGTCTCTATGAGATCCTTTGTATTTTTAAGGTTTAAGGGATTTGTAATTAGAATAAAATAAAATTTAAAAGTAGATTAAATATCCTTATAATATATTCTTAAATATTTTTGGAAGATGCTTACTAAAAATATATGAAAACATAAATTAGAATGTGATTATGTGCATAATAAAAAAGAAAGAAAAGAAGTACTTTAAACAAATATGCTTTATATGATTTTACAAATGTGAAGAATAACATAAAAAAGGTAAATTTTTATAAAAATAATATAAAAAAATAAAATACTAAACTTCTGAAAGAAAAATTTAAGATTTTATTTAAAGATCCCCAGATTTTCTTTATAATAAAACCAGAAGAAAATGCAAAACAATTCCAAAGGTCAAATAAAGTGT